TCCTGTTAATTCACATAGGAGGCAGCAAAAGATGTCCCAAGAGCTTGGGCCCCTGCCATCTACGTGGGAGACCTAGATGGACTTCCTGGCTCCTGGCTTCAGCCTGGCTCAGCCCTAGCTAGTTCAGCTATTTGGGAGTGAACCAGCTAATAGGAGATCTCTCTCATTTCTCTCTCTCTCTCTCTCTCTCTCTCTCTCTCTCTCTCCCCAACTCCCTCTGGCACTCTGCTTCTCAAATAAATTTTAAAACATCTTCCAAATATAATATTTTTTACATAATACAATTCAGCATCTTGACAAGATGAAGTTTTATAACAGACAGCTATAGTATTGAGGAAAGGACAATGAAACCAGCACTGAGTGAAAAGGACAAGGTTCCTGGAATATTCACGCCCTGATTTTGTAGTGTCCATCACAGCCCTTCAGCCTGATTCTAGAGGAAAAAACAAAGATCTAGTCCTGAGAATGTTTCTCTCTCTCTCTCTCTCTCCCTGTCTCTCTTCCGCTTTCCTCCCTCCCTCCTTTCCCCTTTTCTCCTTTCTGATCAAATCCCACATCACATATTCTGGGAAAGTGAGGTGTGAATTTTAATTCCGGCTAAACTTTTCCCCCTTGAGGTGTGCTTTATAATTTCAAAGCCACAGAGAGTTTAGGGTTTTCTTCCTTAGAAGGCAGTTAATAATACATGGAATATTATGTTTTGGTGCCATCTGGTGTGTGATGTGCAGGTTTGCAGCTTCACCGAAGGATCTGATAAAATTTCTAAGGACAGAAGGAAGGGCCAGTGAAATGAAAGAAGAATTGATTCATTTTAACAAGTCGTAACTGGACATGCTGGAAATTATTGATAACAGGGAGGAGAAGCCACAGCAGTCAGGATGGGTTTGGGGGTGAGAGCTTGGAGGGGAATGAGTGCTGATGAAGCCAAACTAGCGAGAGCTCAGACAGAGCAGCAGGACCGGCCTAGTCACAGCCCGGAGGGTCACACACTACTGCCTGAGTCAAGGTTGCAAGTCTAAAGCACCGGAACCAGCTGGAAGGTACTCTGGGCAGCTGCACTGGTTCTGGGGTCTCAGGCAGGGAGGGGTCAAATCTGAGCCATCCAAGTGCATCTCCAGCGAGGGGCTCTGGAGGAAAGTGGCTGTCAGGATCTGTGAAGACTAAATTTTTCATTAGAGAAGACTTGCAGGGCCAGCACTGTGGCATAGTGGATAAAGCCTCTGCATACAGTGCCAGTGCCAGCATCCCATATGGACGCTGATTCGAGTCCTGGCTGACTGACCTCCAATCCAGCTACCTGGTATGGCCTCGGAAAGCAGTGGAAGATGGTCCAGGTGTTTGGGCCCCTGCACCCAGGTGGGACACCTGGAGGAAGATCCTGGCTCCTGGCTTCAGATCAGCCCAGCTCAGGTTTTTGTAGCCATTTGGGATGTGAACCAGCGGGTAGAAGATTTCTCTCTGTCTCTGTCTCTCTCACTCTCTCTCTCTCTCTGTAGCCCTGCTTTTCAAATAAATAAATAATTCTTTACAAAAAAAGAAAGAAAAGGCTTGCACTGGGAATGGGAAAATTAGACATCGACTGCAACTCAGTTGAAGGGTCAAAGCAAAACTCCATTATAAAAATCTGTCAGGACTCAAAGACAGCTTAGCCCAAAATTCATGGACTTCTTGCTACCATCAAACCAACCTAGTATTCATTTTCACTGATGGCGAACCATCAGTTTTGAAGACAGAAAGTCTTGTTAATGCCACTCTCATTTCTCATGGCTCATATCCAGTCAATCAAGAAGTGTTTTTGGTTTCCTCTCCTAAATAACTCTTGGGTCTGCCTATCTCTTCATCCCTGCAACCACCTGGTTCAAAGAACTGAACTGCTCTCACCAGCTGGACCAGGCAACCACCCAGCACCCCCACTTCCCTCATTCTCAATCTGCTTGACACGGTGCAGCCAGGGATAAATTTTCTTTCTTTTTTTTAAGATTTGTTTATTTATTTGAAAGTCAGAGTTACACAGAGAAAAGGAGAGGCAGAGAGAAAGAAAGAGAGTGAGAGAGAGAGAGATGTCTTCCATCTGCTGTTCATTCCGCAGTTGGCCACAACAGCCAGAGCTGTGCCGATCTGAAGCCAAGAGTCAGGAGCTTCATGCTGGTGCAGGGGCTCAAAGACTTGGGCCATCTTTTTCTTCTTTCTTTCTTTCTTTCTTTCTTTGACAGGTAGAGTTATAGACAGTGAGAGAGAGAGACAGTAAGAAAGGTCTTCCCTGCGTTAGTTCACTCTCCAAATAGCTGCACAGCTGGAGCTGCGCTGATCTGAAGCCAGGAACCAGATGCTTCTTCCTGGTCTCCCATGTGGGTGCAGGGGCCCAAGGACTTGGGCCATCTTCCACTGCTTTCCCAGGCCACAACAGAGAGCTGAACTGGAAAACAAGCAACGGGGACTAGAACCGGTGCCCATATGGGATGTAGGTGCTGCAGGTGAAGGATTAACCTAGTGCATCACCGCGCTGACCCTGGGCCATCTTCTACTGCTTTCCCAGGTCATAGCTGAAAGTTGGATTGGAAGTGGAGCAGCCAGGACTTGAACCGGTGCCTATATAGGATGCCGGCACTGCAGGTGGCAGTTCTACCTGCTAAGCCACAGCGCCAGTCCCGCCAGGGATATATTTTCAAAATGAAGTCTGATCATGGTGCCACCTGGCTGAAAATATTTCTGTCAGACCCAACTCTTTAGCATAAAGACCAAACTTGACTATGAACTGAAACTCTGTATAAACAGGCCCCTACATTTCTAGTCTTAGTCTGCACAGCGCCTCCCTCTTGTGCACTCAGCCTTATCACTCTGGCTTTGTTCACTGCCCATCCTTATTACCACTGGATTTTTACTTACACTGCCCCTGTCTTCTGATTTTATTTAGTTAATTCTTATTCATCTTTCTGAACTCTGTCACAGCCCACTGATTCTATGGCGGCCTTGTTAAGTGAAAGCTCCTGATCGTAATTCTAATAGCTCCAAATTCTAATAGCTCATCTGAGCAAAAACAATCACAGCTGCATTTTATTTTTAGACAGTATTTGAACATCTATCTCCTCCACTAGAATATAACTCCTGTGAGGACAAAGGTTGGATATACTGTGGTTCACCATGGTATATGTCAGGACTAACACAGTCCTTGTATGAAGAAAGTATTGATAAAGGAAGAAGGAAGGAAATAGGAAAAAGGGAAATGCCAGGACATTATAAAAATGTTTACTATTGTAAACACAAAAAGGTTTATGAAATTTGATACATAATTAAAACTTTTCTTAAGCAAACCATTCTGAACTTCTTTATGATCCCATCCCGACAGTGTCCATGTCCTTTAGTACTTAGGTGTGGAGCTGTTCAAGTCAGACAACCGGAGGTCCAATCCTGTTGCAGTTGATTTCTCAACAATGTTGCAGTGGATTCGTTTCTGAGAGGAGGAACGTGGTGGGGGCAAGAGGCGCAGAGTCACCACACAGACCCGGGGAGTTGGGTGAAAGCAGGCCTGAGGCAAGCAGCCGGCAGACTCGTTTATTTGAGTTAGTACAACAGCTTGTATAGCCAAGACCAGCCAATCCAGTCAAGGGACAGTCTATGCCCCAACCAATCACAGCCTGTTGCCAGGCAGTTTCCAAAGCCATCCAATCACAGTCTGTTGCCAGTCAGGCTCTTGTCACCAGGCAGTTTCTGAAGCCATCCAATCACGGCCTGTTGCCAGGCAGTTTCTGTTGTCAGCGGCCATCTTGGCATAACCTTTTCACCTCAGCGTCCATCTTGATATGACCTTTTCACCTCATTCCACCACACAATCCCATGTCTGTGTACACCAGCTAGGACCTCTCTGGCAATGACCAGCTCTTTGTTCATAAATGCAGACAATAATGATGCCTGCCTGAAAGAGCTGAGAGGAATAAACCAGGGTGCCCAGGTGAAGTAGTCAGTAAACCCCCAAGCAACACTAGCTCTGATTAGCTTCTAAGTGAACACTGTCACAGCACAGTGACACCTTCCGCTTGCCTCTGCTTTTGCATTCCTTCCCATTAGTTGTACCTGTCAAGGCAAAACCCCCCTCACCCTCAAAGATCTAATTCAAATACTGCCTCCTCCAGGAAGTCTTCCAGCCCCCTTCATTAGAAACCAACACATACTTACTGAGTGAATCCCATATTACCCCATTTATACTTCATGAACTTTTGCAACAGGCACACATAACAAGCACAAAATGATGATTTTTTTTATATTTAATAAAGATACTTAAAATACGAGATACCTAATTTGGAACAAGAGTTGTATGTCTTTTTGTTCAGTCTTCTGAATCTTGTTACCTGCAACTAAAATAATAAAAATGGAGGGGCTGGTGCTATGGTGTAGTAGGTTAAGCCTCTGCCTGTGGTGCTGGCATCCCATATGGGCGCTGGTTCCCATCACAGCTGCTCAACTTCCAATCCAGCTCCCTACTGATGGTCTGGGAAAACAGTAGAAGATGGTCCAATTCCCTGGGCCCCTGCACCCACGTGGGAAACCCGGAAGACCTCCTGGCTTTGGATTGGCCTAGGTCTAGCCATTGCGGCCATTTGGGGAGTGAACCAGCCTCTGCCTCTCTGTAACTTTTCAAATAAATAAATAAATCTTTAAAGATACTACTACTAATAATGTTATTTATTTATTTATTTATTTTTATGCCATGTGGTAGCATACAGAAGGAGTAATACAGCAAGCTTGACAGGATGCATGGCCTGTGGACCTTCAGAAGAGAAAAGAAAAAAGAAACAGGGACTGCTGGGGAAGAGGTTGGCCGGGGACAGCACATCACCTGACCCACCAGGAGACTCTGAGTGGAGGCCCAGAACTAGTCAACTTCAATCACCGGCAACGCCCTGTGAGGACAAGGCCACCCAACAACAGCACCAAAGCAGCGAGGGCTTTCCTTTCCCTTGCCTTCCATTGGCAGATCAGATGAGAGGGAGGAGAACGTCTAATTTTTTTTTTTTCAATCAGGCGTTTAATGAGGCTCCTGGGGTCCCGGGGGCCAGCTCCCCCCACCAGGCTGCGCCAGCCGAGTGCGCGTGCGCATGCGGGTCCGTGCGGGCCTTGGCTGCAGCTTTACCGGATCCTGTTGAAGAGGTTCAAGACCGACACGGACTCCTTGGTGGACCGCGTTTTGCTAAAGACGTTCCAGAAGCGCAGGGTCTCGTCCCCGGCCCCAGTGATGAGGGCCTCCCCGTCGGGCGACATGGCCAGGTAGAGGACGCGGTACAAGTGCCCGGTGAGCTTGGCCACCTGGGTCAGCGACGGGTACTTCCAGACAAGGATCTGGTTCTGGGAGTAGCCGTGCGTGCTCACCAGCTCGCTGGCGTGCTTGGACCAGGCCAGGTTGCACACCTGGGAGCCCGTGTCGATACACTGCAGCGGCTGGCCCGTAAGCGTGCTCCAGAAGCGGATGCAGCGGTCGGCCGTGCCGCCGCCCGACGCCAGCAGCCCGTGCTGGTGCGGCGACCAGGAGATGGCTTTCGCGGCAGCCAGGTGCTCGGTGTACTGCTGCACGGGCGCCAGGCTCGAGTGGTTCCAGACGAGGCCAGCAGCTGGTGGTCCGTGGACCACTTGAGGCCGCACACCTCCTGCCGGTGGCCCTGCAGCCGCCGCTCAGCCTGCAGCGGGGGGCTGCGGATGTCCCGCTGCAGGATCACGCGGTCTAGGCTGCCCGACGACAGCTGCTCGGCGTTCCAGGCCATCGCGCCCACGCGCGCCATGTGCCCCTCCAGCACCAACAGCTTCTTGTCCTCAGCCGCGTCCCAGATCTGCACGAAGCCCTTGTGCGTGCCCACGGCCACCAGGTTCCCCCGCTCGGACCAGCCCACGGAGGTGACCGAGTCGCCCTCCACCGACAGGTCGCAGAGCCGCGACACCTGGCTGGTACAGGCGCTCCACAGGTACACGCACGTGCCCAGCCCCACGCTCAGCAAGTCGACCAGTCCACCAGGTTCAGGTAGAAGTCGTCCTGCAGCTCGGGCGCGTCCAGCACCTTGAACGGAATCTTGGAGATCTTGCGCGCGGGCTTCCGCGGGGACCGGAGCCGCTTCTGGCTCTTGGTGCTGACGGGGGACAGGGAGTAGGGCGACACGTCTTTGGTGTCGTCAGGGCTCGAGCGCTTGGTGCTCAGGGAATACGTGAACAGCCCCTTCTTCTCGGGCGTGGACGGCTGCAGCCTGCGGTCCTCCGTCTGCGGGTCCTGCACCTTCTCGATGCCGGCGCCCAGCAGCTCGTTCTTGAGCAGCGCAGAGTAGGCCAGGCCGTCTTTGGCATCCTTGGCTTTGCGGTTTTGGCTGGGAGACTTCTCATTCTCGTTGATCCGGTGGAAGTTCACGCTCCCGTTGGCCCCCGCCCGCGAGGGGATGAAGCGGTCGCCGTGCTTGCTGGGAGAGGACACCGGGGAGTTGGCCGGGGTCAGCGTCCGCCGCAGCTCCGAGACACAGGGCACCGTGTTCTCTTTCTGCACGACGATCTGCCGCAGCAGGCGCCGCTCGTAGTCTTGGTCCCTGGCGGGCGGGGCGCGGCCCGCGGGCCCCAGCTGACCTGAGGGAGGGGGGCGAGGTCAGCACTGGGAAGGGGGGGGGCAGCCAGAGACAGCCGGGGGTGGCCGGGCCGCTCTGCATCCCCTGCAGGGAGCCCCAGCTACAGGCCAGACCCCGAGGGAGGGGCCCGGGGTCAGGGCCGGAGCCGGGCTGCTGGTACGCGGGGGTCAGGGATCCACTCTGACCACCACACGCTCACCCCCAGCCTAGGTGGCAGGAGGGGCCCGGTGCGTCCTGGCCTAAAGCCCGTGTGGCCGGGGGGTTCAGAGGGAGTTGTCTACCAGGCGGTCAGCAGCCCGCCATCTGCACCGGGGTGGGGACCCGACGGTCGTGCGGCCAGTGGCCTGGCCCGGAGTGCCCTGGGCGGCTCCGCACATGGCGCTCCTGGCCTGCAGCTTCCTCGGCCGGCTGCCCCGCCCCCCAGGGCCATCACTGTCCCCGAGCACCCCCTCCCCCCGGCCGGGACCCCCGGCTTCGCTGCTCCCCTGCTTCCGGCTGGTCCTGGGCCTGAGCCCCCAGGCGAGGCCCGGGGCTGGTGACAGAAGACCCACAAAGGGGCAAAGCTCAGAGCAGACGCCCGCGGCCCCTGTCCCCACAACCAGGGCAAGGGGCCCCACGGCCCGCCCACAGCAGCCACCAGGGGGCGCCGTCCACACAGCGGCAGGGGACGACCCGCAGAGCATGCGCAGAGTGGCCGGGTGCCTGGCCAGCCCCAGGCCTGAGGCTGGGCTGCGCCCTCGGGCCGGGTCAGGGACGCGCAGTCAGCGACCTCCGGGTCCGGACGCGGTGGGCGGGGCTCCTCTCCGGGCCACATCCACTGCCTCCCCCGACCCCGCACACGCTGCCATTGCCAGGCGGTGGCCCGGCCCCAGGAGCCGCAACGGTCATAAGGGCACACAGGGAGCACCGCAGGTCCCCATTGCAGAGCACGGAGCCCCCCCGCGACTCTGGGGGCACGCCCACCGCTGGGGTCAGGGAGAACGTCTAATTTTAACACAGATCTTGAGTTTCTATTATTTTAATTCTTTTTTTTTTAAAGATTTTGTTTTATTTATTTGAGAGGTACAGTTACAGATGCAGAGAGAGAGAGAGAGAGAGAGAGAGAGAGAGGTCTTCCATCTGCTGGTTCACTCCCAAATGGCTGCAATGGCTGCAGCTGAGCTAATCTGAAGCCAGGAGCCAGGAGCTTCTTCTGTGTCTCCCACACGGGTACAGGGGCCCAAGGACTTGGGCCATCTTCTACTGCTTTCCTAGGCCATAGCAGAGAGCTGGATCAGAAGTGGAGCAGCCAGGACTATAACTCGCACCCATATGGGATGCCAGCACTGAAGGCAGAGACTTAGCCCACTATGCCATAGCACCAACCCCTATTATTTTATTTCTTTAAGTTAATTTATTGATAAGCAGAGAGATTATGAGATTATAGTTTATTTTCAGAATTGAAGTGTTTGTTAGCAACCTTGACTATCTGAAGAATGTCTTAATATCTAAAATGTGACAGTTATTCTTAAGTGTTGATACTTAACTGAAAAAATGATCCCTGTTAAATATAAGAGTGGGAATAAGAGAGGGAAGAGATGTACAATTTGGGACATGCTCAAGCTGATTTGCCCAAAACGGTAGAGTTAGAAACATACCAGGGGATTCCAATTCAATCCCATCAAGGTGGCATGTACCAATGCCATCTCACCAGTCCAAGTGATCAATTTCTGTTCACAATTGATCATAATGATAGGACTAAGAATCAAAGGGATCACATAAACAAGACTAGTGTCTGAAAATACTAACCAATAGAACAAAAACGGGAGAGAACGATCCAACATGGGAAGTGGGATACACAGCAGACTCATAGAATGGCAGATGTCCTAAACGGCACTCTGGCCTCAGAATCAGCCTTTAAGGCATTCGGATCTAGCTGAAAAGCCCATGAGAGTATTTATTTTAGGCATGGAAAGCCAAGACACTATGGCAAAAAAAAAAAAAAAAAAAAAAAAAACAAAACTAAATGAAAGATCTCTGGGAGTGAGATCCCAGTGGAAAGAACAGGTCATCAAAGAAGGAGGTACCTTTCTCTGAAGGGAGGAGAGAACTTCCACTCTGACTACAACCTTGTCTACATATGATCAGAGTTGGTGAACTCAAAAGGCTTCCATAGCCTTGGCAGCTCATGACAAGAGCCTAGGGTAATTACTGATGCCATAAACAAGAGTGTCAATTTGTTAAGTCAACAACAGGAGTCACTGTGCACTTACTCCTCATGTAGGATCTCTGTCCTTAATGTGCTGTACATTGTGATTTAATGCTATAACTAGTACTCAAACAGTATTTTTCACTTTGTGTTTCTATGTGGGGTGCAAACTGTCGAAATCTTTACCTTAATATATGCTAAAACTGATCTTCTGTATATAAAGAGAATTGAAAATGAATCTTGATGTGAATGGAAGGGGAGAGGGAGTGGGAAAGGGGAGGGTTGCGGGTGGGGGGGACGTTATGGGGGGTGGAAGCCATTGTAATCCATAAGCTGTACTTTGGAAATTTATATTTACTAAATAAAAGTTAAAAAAATAAATAAATAAAATGTGACAGAAATTAATGAGCCAGCCTATGTTGTCAACCAGTAACAGGGGAAGGCTAAATTTTTAAAGGATGGTGGGTGGTGGAAATAAAGCATCTTTCTGATTATATCTCATGAGTCCTGCTTGTTCAACATACCAAATGTGTTCATATTATTTACTTCAGTTCTCTTTATACTATGAGGTTGTTCATAATATTACCACCATGCTCATTTTAAAGATGAGAAAACCAATGCATTGAGAATTTAGGTAAATTGCCTAAAGATGTACAGCAAATAAATTTGAGATTCATGATAGGAATTCAGTATCTGAGTCCAAGTTATGCTTAATCAGTAAGCACAAAGTACCTCAACCCAACAGTAATCTTCTTTAAGCACATTAAATGCTTTAAGTCAATTCTTTATATCCACAGTTTCTTCTCTTCCTTGAAATAGGATTCGAAGCTCATTTTATTGACTCACTGAAAATTTGGGCAACTCCCCTGGAAATCTCAGTGCCTGGAGTCCTATTCTAGAATTCCATAAAGCCATTCTTCCCATCTCTAGCCCGTGAAGAAGGAAGGCTGGAGACTGTGAATAAAGATCCCTACTCCTCTGGAACCCCAAATATTTTCTTCCTCTTCCTCTCTGAATCCCAGAAAATTCTTTGCTTTTGTTTAAGATTCACTTATTTGAGAGGTAGAGACAGACAGACAAAGAGAGAGGTCTTCCATCCACTGATTCACTTCCCAGATGGCCCCAAACAGACAGAGCTGGGCTGATTCCTCTGCGTCTCCCACGTGGGTGCAGGAGCCCAAGCATTCAGGCCATCTTCCACTGCTTTCCCAGAGAGCTGGATTGGAAAAGGAGTGGCCAGGACACAAACCAGTGCCCATATGGAATGCCAGTACTACAAGTGGAAGCTTAACTTACTGCACCACAGCACTGGCCCCTGGAAAGTTATTTTTTAGTCTTGGGGAAAGTATCTCTTCCTCTAATTCTTGTCCCTTACTGAGGCTGAGATTAAAGCCTTGATGCATTAGAATGCTGGATTTCCAGATTCCCTGAAAAATTTGGAAATCTGGCTTCCCAGGACTCCCATCCCATGGATCAAAAGCTGGGGCAATATACAGCTTCCACTTTCCCTGGGCATTCCCCCTAGCTTTCTCTTCCCATCACCCTATCTTCCAGGCCCCTTGAAATGTTTGCATTTGCTGAGTTTGCGTTAGACTTTTGGAAACAAAAACCAGGAAAGTTTACTGCAACATCTTTGGAAGGTGACATTATCTTCCCTAAAGGGAGGAAGCAAATAAGCTTCTTAGTGTTTTGGATGGCAAGGGGAAAAAACAATTCAGGGCAAGAGGAGTAAAAATTTTCAATATATGAAATCTGCTAACTTGCCCTAATAAAGCAAATGTACTTCCCTTCCTGTACACCTGAGTGTGTAGTCTGACCAGCATACCTGATTGTATCTCATGAGACCTGCTTGTTCAACATAGCAGATGTATCCATATTATCCATGGAAACTTTATGGCTGTGTTCAATATTCTGCATTGTACCTAACACTCCCTGCATAAATAATTCCTCAATCAAGTTGTGTTATTGTCTCCAAGTAGATTGGTATAAAACCATTTAAGATCAGAATCTGAGCTTAAATGCACACAGCAGTTTCTTCTAGAAATTTTAATTGTATTTGGTCTCACATGCACTAACAAGTTTGCCAACTCCTGTTCTTTGGAATTGCAAAGTATACAAGTGAGAAAGACACATTTGATTGATGGCTAAATAATTACTTTCTAGGCCTTGAACTTTATTATAAAAGGGGTCGTTAGGAAGCTGTCTCTCTATCACAGACATGCCATCTATACAGATTAAATCTGAACAAAGTAACAAGAGATTTTGTAGAGTTACCTGGATAAACTCTAATCTGGTGTTTCTTCTGGGTAACAATGCTCTGGACTTGTCAATTTAAGAAAGGGGGGATTAGGCCGGCGCCGTGGCTCAATAGGTTAATCCTCCACCTTGCGGCGCCGGCACACCGGGTTCTAGTCCCGGTCAGGGCGCCGGATTCTGTCCCGGTTGCCCCTCTTCCAGGCCAGCTCTCTGCTATGGCCAGGGAGTGCAGTGGAGGATGGCCCAGGTGCTTGGGCCCTGCACCCCATGGGAGACCAGGAAAAGCACCTGGATCCTGGCTCCTGCCATCGGATCAGCGCGGTGCGCCGGCTGCAGCGGCGGCCATTGGAGGGTGAACCAACGGCAAGGGAAGACCTTTCTCTCTCTGTCTCTCTCTCTCACTGTCCACTCTGCCTGTCAAAAAAATAAAAAAAACTAGCAAAGAAAACCCTCAAAAGGAAAAAAAAAAGATGAGGGGGAGATTTATACTCTTTGGCTACATTTTCAAGATAATTGAACACATGTGTAACTGATCCAAGAAAGTGTAAATGGCAACAAAGAAGTACCTGCAACAAG